AAAGAGTGCTGTAAATGGGGGGGGGGGGTAAGAAAATTTATTTGAGGGTAAAACAATGAATCAAAATGAAAACAAATCATTATATCTTCACCAATAACAGCCGAGTAATGTCCCACAAGTAGACCTTACCCCAACTTATAAAGGTAGAGAGGTTTTCAAAAGGCTTATCTCAACAAAAGATTTACAAAACAAACAGATAACAAGGGAAAAAGAGTAAGGGGAAAATAAACTGCAGAAAAAGAAAGGATGGGTACATAAACAACAACAAAGCCTTATCCCACTAGGTGGGGTCGCGGGTGGGTACATAACAACAAACAAAATTACAAATTCCTACAAAGGCCCCCTCTAACACCTAACTCACTCCTAAAAGGCTAATACCCAAAACAAATTGAAGTTAAATACTTAAATCACCTTACAAATTAGATATTTGAGATTCAAACAGCCCTTATATTTCTTTGAATCTGCTAAATTCGCTAACATTGGGTCTCAAACACCAACCAATAGTTTATAGAAATCACAAGAACGGGCAGAAAAACAGGATTATACATGAACGCGGGAAAAAAAAGCAACAATATAGGGTACCTTCGACTGGTATCAAATGTAACTCCAGATTATGGTATTCCTAGCACCCAATATTTATTGGAAGAAAATTGATGGAAAACAAAAGAGCACATTAAGCATTTGAAAACCTATTTTCCATAGGACATGAAACAAAACTACAGTTGAAAAAAGTAAGCACTGATGAATCGGGTTAAAGATGCTGTGCATGAAAGGGCGCAAGAAATTTGGCACACAGAATGGAAAACACAGCACCAGGTCTCATGAGTGAATGTTAAGCATGTTCCGTAGATAACTTACCAGCGTCAGAAGTCCAAAGCCACGGAGATCCTCGCAGCTCCGTCACCTGAAACGAAAAACCAAAAAGCAAAAAATCAAAGCTCAAAATGAGGAATACATACGCGATGCAAACGACATAAGTGAAAAATCAAGCTAGAATCGGGAAAACAAAGAAGAAATGCTCGAATAACCTATGAACAAACAGAAGCAAGACAAAATGGTCCGGAGCGAACCAGTCGTCCTCAGGCGACGAAGAGTGAAACCGGAGAGAACCGGCGGCACAGCGGTGGGCGGATATCAGTCAGGATCGGAAAGAGGGTTAGGAAGATGGAAATTAGGGATTCCGTTCCGCCATGGATGATACGGAAGGCAATGGCAGTGCGTTAGCGGAGTTGTCAGTCGGGTGCGCGTGTTGTGTTCTCTCTCCACGAGGAAGGTAAGGCCGCCGCTTGGCAGCGTCCTAATTACCGAGCAAAACGACAACAACATATACTCGCATTTCATATTTCATTTCATAGAGGAAAATGCTAGGGTGCGGGTGCTACTATGGGTGCACCCATGCTTCACACAGACAAACACAGATGATAATTGTCTGTGTCTCACAGACAATTATCGTCTGTGTTTGTATGTGTGAAGTATGAGTGCACCCATGGTAGCATCTATGTGGTGACACCCTAGCATGGTCCTTTCATAATATGCTTTTTTTGTTTATTTTGACCAAAATTGGTAGAGTTGGAACACTAATTTATTTTTTATTTTTTTTTGCATTTTGTGTTTCTATTACAAGCTCCAAAGGAATTAAAAAAAAAGTTGTAAATGGGCTGTAGATATGTTATGGAGCTTATTAGGGTTGTAGTTAGGGTTACTTTTTGACTATGTGTATATATTTTTCTAGATTATTTATAATGAAAATTCAGTTGATTTAACTAAAAAAATACTCCCTTCATCTCAAATTATTTGCCACATTTGTATTTTCGAGGCAAAATATCAAGTTTTTTCAATTCATTTTATTTACATATTGATAAAGAAATAAAAAATAAAATTTACATATAAAAAAACTACATGAAAAGTTCTTCGAAATAAGAGGTATCAAGAATATTTTATTTTATCAAATAATCAATAAAAACGTCGAAATAAACAAAAGTTTCCGACACTGCTGAAAAAGCAAATGTTGTGAATATTTAGGGACGGAGGGAGTATCATGGTAGTGGAGCTAAATCTCTGAACCACCTAAAACCCTAGTTGTCTTAACAGGTTTTCTACTTTTTGTTGCCAGCACGATGTAACATTATATCCCGATGCCGAGAGTTTGTGTTGTGGTGATCCGTCGTGCATCACATAGCCATGTTTGCTGCAAAGAGTTTATAAAAGTTTTGTCCCATTCATGATATGTCCTCCGATTATTATTTCATCCTTCAGAAAGTCTTGGTAAATCTCTAACAAAATAATTCCTTCGTGGAGACAACTTCTATATCAGGGAAAAGACAATTAGTAATTAATTAGAGGACCGTAATCGTGCAGGGTTCCTAACTATTACTAGGTTTTCCAAGCCCACATATCAACATGGACTCATTGCATGGAAAGTGAATAACTTTATCATTTGTAATTAGATTCTCAACAATATTAATGAGCTTATCCAGCCTTGTGTTGCGTCTCACAACATTTCACATGAATTATGCATAGACTTAAGGGCTTGATAAGGTAGTTTGAATAGACCTCGTGTCCACTAGTTGAAGTCGGAGTTTCAATCGCAACACCAAAAGGGGTCAAATAGTAGTTGACTACAATCAATTTGTTACTGTGGAATCAATTGTATGCTTCGTTTGTCATATGTAGTGTGGGGGAAAATGAAGTTGGCCAGTCTCATTCATGCTTGGGAAGAGCGTGAAAAGACTAATAATTTGTTTGGGACTAGATGACAAACATTTTGGCTCTATCGAATGCCAAATTCTCCGGACCTAACCAATTCCAAATCCTAATAGATATGGCATATGCCTAGGTCGTCCATCAAGAGGAGCACCAACATATCATCTATCATTCACAGTTGTGACAATCGCGGTGAGGTAGCTACCTTTGTCGTTCGTTGGCTCTCAAACCTTGACGCCCTCATGTCCAATCACTACGGTTAAACTGCGCATACGATTGATAAGTGCTACCAAACGATTGTATTCCTAGTTAATAATTTCTTTTTCTCCACAGTGATTTTATTGGGGGCGCGTATTTTCAACTACCTCTTATAAGCCAAAAAGGTTTTTCTTTTGGTTAGCTAAGTTCATTACCACTCTGTGCTGCTATGGTTTTTGGTAATAATAACAATTCTACGTGTGCTACTTTCAAGCAGTATTTGGATATATATATATATATATATATATATATATATATATATATATATATATATATGTCCATTTGAGGGCTGCTATGGTTTTTGGTAGTAATAACAATTCTGTGTGTGCTACTTTCAAGTAGTATTTGGATATATATATATGTCCATTTGAAAAACTTAAGTCCATTGACTTACTTCTTGGGCATACATTGAGACTCTTTTGTTCGAATGCATGATGTTACATTTGTAAAAGTAAGTGTTAGATATCGTACATGAGGTTGGTCTCCTAGGGTGTTGTAAGCTAAATGATACTCCTATTAAGCTAATTCAAGGTATGGCTCAATACAAGTATAATAGTGACGAATCTGACATGTTATTGGTGCCTTGTGGGTCGATTGATTTATTATACTATTATTGGGCCTAACTTATCATAATTTGTCCATATTATATTGTAGTCTATGCATGCTTATCATGTTAATCATATTGCAATTGACATACATGTCCTTTGATATCTTAAGGACATCTAAGCATTGATTCTGATTGGGATAGTTATTCACTCACTCAGCATCTGAACTAGAGTATTTTATTTCGTTGGGTGGATATATAGTCTCATCAAAAACCATGAGGCTGACTCCTGCCTCCTGGCCCAATCATCTACTCAGGCAAAGTAGCATAGCTACGTTGGTTGCACGAGCTTCTTGCAGCACTTGGAGTACCTTGTGTTGTCCATCCACACTTGTTTTGTGGTAGTCAATCACCTCTATTCATTGCAACTAACCCAGTAGTTCACGAACACATGAAACATATCGACATTAATAGTAACATCATTTGTGAATGTGTTCAACGCCACAAGATTGCCATCATTCAAGTTTCTACGCATATACTGCTAGCTAATTTGTTTAGTAAAAGATTATCTAGGCTTATTTGCTCATACTTATTATCAAAGCTAGGTATTTGTAATCTTCATATCCCAACTTGAAGGTGTTGGCGAGTAAAATTGTAAATGATTTTTAAATATGTTATCATGCTTATTAGGATTGCAATTACTCTTTTGACTCTACGTATGCATAAATCTCTTGTTCATATGAAAACCGGTTTGATATGTCTCAAAATCTTTACTCACAATCTAGACCATTCTTAATAAGGTAGAATTGAAAATAAGGAAATAGAAGAATATAAGTATAAACAACTATTTACCGAAAATTGACGGTTCTACCCTCTAACCTCCCCAATAAACCCCCCACCCCCCACCCCGCCCCAACCCGAACACACTCCCCACCCCCTTTAATTACACCCCACAAGTTAATTTTGACTTTAGAGTCAAATCTTACACCCCACAAATTAATTATGACTTGGAGTCAATTGCACCCCGCAAATTAATACTAAAACTATGTTCAGCAACTAAAATTGAGACAAATTTTGTTCTATTTTCTTGCCAGATTTCCCTCATGGTAGGACTAAG